AACAAAAAACACTAGCCTGATAGCAAAATCCATTAGCCCTGGGCTATCGGACACAACTTTCTTTGAACACTGAGAACCTTAGACAAGCTCGTTTTCATTACAAAAGAGCCGGCTAGCTTATATACATTGCCCTCACTCAAGGACAACAGAAAAAGCACACAACAACCTGAATTTTCTTATGTCTGATCTTTTCTTGTTCTTCCAATAGATAACTAGAAATTTCCTCAGTCCTGATGCTTTGAAGCAACTGTTTGATCAATGCTGTGCAAAAAAAGAGGCAAACAGGCCATCATTGTCTGCAGTTAGAAAAACTCTTATGGTGAGTTCTAAAAGTGTCAGTCGTTACTAGCCACGTACGATGCAAATTCCAACAGATTTATTAACCTCGCTTTCGCGAGGAATAAACTTGCTACGCGACAGCCTTACGTGAGGAATTAACCAGTGCAAGTGCATAACAAACTAAAATTTTTTCATTACTAATAAAACTTAATCATCTTTTCATAACAGGATTTTTCACTTCCCAGACTTCTTGTCACTTCAGACTTCAAAGGCCAAGCACCGTATGAACTTACATGCAAAAAGGGTGAGATCATCTTCCTGATCTCCAAGACAATTCCAGGGTAGGTTAGTTTATTATTCAATGCAATATTATTCATACTGACTTGTAAACTGTTACGGTATTATGTGTGTACCACATACTTTTAATCTTGTGTTTAGTACGGTACAGAATTTATGGCTAGATTTTAGGTTTTATTCATTTCCAACTATTTTAATAACCTTCATGTTTTACTGTAATTAAAGTAGTGGTATGCTATAGGGATTTACCATGGGGTTTTATGTAATGTGAATTCGACCCAGCTGATTTAAGAGTCAACTTGGGTGACTGAGACAATGTCAACTCCCCAAGCCTCTGTCCAATTTTATAAAAGTAAGATCTTTTATGAGAATATTATAACCGCCATCAATTTGTTTTTGACCTTGAACACATTCCATGGCACAATGTTACTGCCCTTGATGTTGCAAGTGAAATGTTGGATCACAACTTCTTGCCCCTATCAAGAGAGTTAGTTTTAAAGGCAGCTTTTACACTGGGTGCCCGGGCGTGGTGCCTGAGTACAGTTCTTCCTGGACACAAGAAATTGTTCAGCCATTTGCATGTGCCTTTGTAACTCATTTTATGTCAGTTTCTTTGCGTAAATCGCGCTCGAGATTCGACTTTTTAGTTTGAAATGCAATAATTCCGCTAATACGAGACATATGCAGATTTCCTCACACCTTTTTTAGGTCTTTTAACTGTCAATCAGATGCAATAAAAAGGAAGTGAATATTTAACAACGCGAAAGGGTTGGAGCTTCAGCAGTAAACTCGATACCTCTGAGTTCGAGAGCAAAAAACTTAAGCGCCTATTGAAATTCGGTGAAATAAAATCTTTTATAAGGTAATTTAGTCTTTTAGCTTTAATTTGATATATAACTTGCCTTTGTAGCAAAAATAATCGCGCGACTAGAACTTTTTTCTGTGGGCACCTCGTTTTCCTTTACCGAGACCTTAAAGCATTCTGAAGATTAGTGGTAGTGCCCGCGTATTCCCACTGCGTAGTTCAGCGAATAAAGTACAACCAACCTTCTTTTGCTCTCTGGAAATTTTTAAGGCTCGGTAATTCGTAATGGGAAATTTTTGAGGTTAATTTTTGGTCCAGGGATTTGTTTTGGGTTTTGTTGGAAACCGCAGGTTTTTGGGGGGTTTTAATTTTTGCCCTATTCGATCATCCACTTGAAATCCGGATTTACCCCCCTCCCTCCCCCCCTGCCACCCACCCCAGGGCGGTAACCCAGGAATGCAAAGTATTTCCAACTGCTCCTTTTATGGAGAAGGGTAAAACGTTGAAATACATCTGCATTCAAGAGCGGCAGAGAGACTGTTAGCGAACCAGTAATACCAAATTATTGAACATTATGATACATAAGTGTACACTAGTGATAAGATGTGTTGTTACAGTTGTCGTTCTTTTTTATTATCATTGTGTAGGGAAAAGAGGGAAAGTGGTGAAATATGGATTGGCGAAAAGAAAAATGGTTGTCTTGGAATATTTGATTCTTCGAAGGCTGAAAGTATTGTTGGTAAGAACTTGGGATATCTTCCATTTTTAAACTTATGAATACAGCCACACTAGTTAAACGTAAGGTGGAATATTTTGTGTCCTCGCACAAACCACCATAACCCAAAGCAACTCTTTCCTCCTGTCTTTGTATAGCTAAAAAGTGAGAAAGCTATCACCTTTCTCTCCCCACAAGAAACAATTGTGTTGAATATTACTTTTTAGAAAATTGTTTCTTAGTGTGCTTTACGCAAGCATCCTTTGTACAACTGCTTGTTTGAACGCAGTAGTTCTCTGTGGTATATACAGAGGATATGTCCACTATCTTAACCGTGTGAAAATTTAGACGCCTAGCCGTTTAAACATTTGAATGTCAAAATCGAGGTCAAATTTTTAGCTGGCACGGTAGAAAATTTGACCGGTGCGGTGTGCACAATTTTTTGTACGGCAAAGGCGTGGTTCCATGGATGCGTAGCGACTCACCTGGGAGGCGGCATTTTGGATTTGCTAAATCAGCGCTCTCTACACGGGTAGATAATGAAACCAGCGACAAAATTTAAAAAAATTAAAGGTTTAAAGGCTTGTTTGCACTTAGAAATACTTAGAAACAAATAACTCAAATACAACATAACAGGATTAAAGACCCCAACTGGCAAGAGGCAACCAGTTGGCTATTTACAAGCGTAAC